AGTTAAAATCCAACTTAATCGTGGGGGAAAACTCCATTCAGCCATGCGTACCGGAAGAAGTTTTACTATTGACAAACTTTGGGTGGACTTGTGGGTTTGGCGGAGCTAGTTTGAAGGAAGTAACGGAAAAATTAATTAGGCTTTAGAGTGAAAAAAAAATTCCGCTGTGCTAAAGGTACACACATTATAGACAGTTAAACAGGAAGCAGAATACTGCTACCTTTCTTCACATCAGTGAGAAGAGGAGTTCTTGTCAGTTTTCTCTACTCCGTCATAACCACAGCGTTCAGATCAGAAATCAACTCTAAGTTTGCAATATCCGGAATGACAAGACATCCATTGTGCAATAATTCAAGACTCCTTCATATAAAGCCCAAAGTAGAGGATAAGAAGCACGAAGGCAACTCTTTGGGGAACAGAACAATATTTCACTCCTCTTTATGCGCTACTCACGAGATGATCTGAGATGTCTCCCCAAGGCCAACTGATTTTTTTGTTGACAGCTTCAATATCCTGAAGCCATCGATTCGGTGAGTCCTCTCCACAATGCCCACTAGCGATGTCAGCAGGAGTCACCCGACCAGCAAGGTTTGAATTGGAGAGCAGCATGGGCCAGAGGACTGAATGGAAGACCTCGAGGACGTTAAAACCGAGGCGGGCACTTGTATCGATAAGTGGGCAACCGAGACGATCTAGTAGGGATCGTGCTGTCGTCTGCAACTCGTCCGCTGCTGCCGCTGTCGATGACACTGCTGATCCGCTTGACCGTCGTGATGACTCTTCCTCTGTATCCATGCCTTCCACCACTCGTTCCCCATCTCCGTCCTCCACAATCGATGGAACTGTTAAGAGGTCCGCCTTATTCCCCACGAAGATTACGCTTTTGGGATCAAACCTTTCTCCTATAGCACAAGTTATTTACTACTAAAGTACCTTTCGAAAGGTTTTCAACATTTCATTCGCGATTATGTTTGTGTGGTCAGAACAGAAACAGGTGCATTAATGTGACGAAAGTGAGTAAGCACGATATCACTTTATAGCCATGCAGATGTAAGTCGCTATTTTAGTTTCACTTACTATAACTCCTTCTTAGTGAACAAAATTCCAATTCAGCTACTTCTTTTCACAGCACGTCCTTGCTGACAGTGGATAACAGTTATGATCAGTACAACAGGCAAATACATAAATCATACTGTGTAAGTGAAACGGGATCATTCCTTGTGTCACGATTTTAGCTACATTTGGAGAGGTACCTTTGACGCGTTGAAGGTCGGTGTGAAGTCGGATGGCCTCGTGGAGAGAGTCAACGGAGTCGTAGGAGAATACAACGATAAAAGCACTGCCTGTCCGCATTCGTAACTCTCTCATTGCCGGAAAGGGATGCAATCCTGCAGTGTCGATTAACACCAGACGTGCGCATGTACAGTCTGGTCCAAGGAAAATGAATGCAAATGATAAATATGTCACCATCTGCTTTTATTTATCGTCCACAGAGGTCCTTTTTAGTCAAGTTACACATTCCTTCCTTTTCTCTCTCGTAGCCAAGTAATACTGACACTTCAAGGGCGTCAGCTCACATGCATAAAGGCGACTGTCTGAAAACTGACTCACAGAGCGGTAGTTGGCCTCCTTCCTTTCACGGGAAGGAATGTAACAGTTGGAGAAGGACAATCTGGCGTGGGCGTTGGTGCATTACCTTTAGCGTCGCCATTGCAAGTTAGATAGCTCTACTTGGAGCGCGGTTTGAATTTCGTTCAAGGAGAATGCAATGCAACTAAGCTTACCAAAACCAGCACTGTGATTTCAATTTGAAACCTTCCTTGCCAACTTTAATAACTATGGTTTTTACAGCAAAATTACGGTCTTCTAAAGTTTAACTGGTCTAATCCACATCAATCAACAAAAAATT